CTATACCTTCGATCATTTTCCTGATCTTGATTTGATGAGTTAGGCCATAAAATATTGAAGAATAAGGAGTTAGTACAATCACTTAGTAACTAAGGTCAATTTATCCTGTACAGTTATATATCAATTAATTATGGATGCAAATGATAAAAACAGTCATTATATGAAAATATATTAAATATAGCATCAGCCACAAACATAACCACCATGTAATCGGGTGTGCAACACATATCATCAGATTTATCACAATTATACATATGTTAGGGTCACAAAAATAACAACCATGCAGCCCTAAAAAACACACCAAACCACAATTATGACAATCATGTGGCTAAAACTATAAATGCATAATCAATGTCAATCTTATGCCCTTTTATTACTTTTGACATAAAACTAATGGCGATCTTGTGGCTACGTCCATAACTTAGATTAACCCAACCTTTCATTTGTGATGAGCTACCGGGCTATGGTTAACTCACTCACTAGTATACTACGATTTCCCCAAAAACTAACAACTATAGAATATTGTACCCCTAATTTAGCCTCTTTATGAATTGGTGAAGACTTGTTAGGTTCTAGTCCCTCAAAGAACAAGTGTGATAGTCTCGAATCAATTATAGGACAAAGGCTACCTCCTGATTCTAACAGTCAATGCTAAGTTAAACTTTCGATTCCAACAATAAGCTACTACTACCACGTGAATTTACCAATTTACTCTTCTCCCTAAGCAAAACTCTTGCTAATGATTATGCTATACACATACGGACACTTACTATGTCATGTTAACACAATTAATAAAATAATATCATATTCACACAATTTCCCTCTTTTCCTCTCCACTATTCTCCATGCATCTTAAATATCACCTATTCATCACACATCATCATTCTCCACATCTTAAATATCACCTATTCATCATTAATTACAATGTAAAAATATGCACATTGTTTTCTACAATTGGAAAACAATTCACACATTATCAAAATTTGCATCAATGGGTTTCTCAAGCACCCAAATAATTTTTAATGATTTAATTCAACTAACAAATAATTAACATACAACTATACAAACAAGATTTTTTTTCCAATTACCTCAAATCTTTAAGATGTTAAAGGTTTACTCTCAAAATACAAGCATCCAAAGCCTCTTCTCAAACTTGAATGGTGCTAGTTTGTTTAATTTATAAGGAAATCATAAGGATATTCATTAATATCCCTTTTGAGCAATTTTCAACATTCAAACTCTACATTCACTTTTTATCAAAATGTAAACTCATTCCCAATCATGACATTGGGCTTACTAAACTCCAATAACTCATATTGTCACTAAGGAGCCATTAAGCCACTATTAATAGCTTCAACACAACTCCAATAACCATCATAATTGCTAAATTCGGCCATTAATAGCCTTCAACTACCAATCACTCATAAAACCATTAATGTGGGGTTTAAATGCTTTAAACAACTCCCATTATATCTATTATGTCAATAGATTTGAACCCATAACTTATATGGATCGAAAATTACTCTCCCAACTTAAATCCTAACTTTTCAATTAGAGAAAATGGAAGAGAAAGGGAGGGAAAGGATTTTGAAACCTTACCTTGGGTGATTAGAAGCTCCAAAATATTTCCAATGGTCCCTAAATTTATGCCCTAGTAGAGAAATCACGAGTCTTTTGCTTTCCCCTTTACTTCCTCCTTATTTTTCAAGCAGATAGCAATAAGTTTATGCAAAAATTTAGCCATGCGTGTGTATGACATAGAGAGGCAGTCCTTCTCTAGTTGACACATGTGCGTTGCGACTGATTAGCCTTAAGCCGGTAGCATATGATACAAAACTCTCCCTTCATATTTTCTCCCTTAAGACCTATATAAACCTCTTTAGCCACACACCACATTAATTCACTTAATTACCCTCTTTTACTTAACTTAATCATGATTAGTTTTTTCAAGTTGTTACATGGCCCCAATGGAATTCACAGCTTAATCTTAGTAACAACAGATTTAATCAATGGTCATGGAAAAAGACCTCTGGGATGGTGTGTTGCAGGCTCTAGACTACTAGATGCAAAAAAAAATTTAGGAATGAATTAGTTTCACTAAATGAAGTTCTCCACAAACGTCTAGCATGAAAGATGTCATTAATGAAACACTTAGAAACAAGCTTTTTCACATAGTAAGAACCTCAAACTCAATAGTTACACCTACCTAATGATTTCATTAGGGTAGATGTATATGCATCTGTGCAGCAGAATCAATTTGTAGCATGTGGAGGGGTGATGACTATGTATGTTGTTAATATTGAGATTCATGCTATAAAATTTAGACTAGAGGTTTGCAAGAGTTGGGGTTTTTGATAAAGTCCAGTTTTATTCTGATTTCACTAGAAGCTATTGATATGTTATGAGGGATGGAGGAGCTGATTACAGATTCAGAGATATCCTTGAATTATACTAGAAATCTAATTAGGTAGTTAATATTCATCAAGCATATTAGGGATGGCAAACTTCTTGCAGGGAATGCTCATGAAATAGGCAAGAATTGAGGCTGGTGCACACAGTTCCTGAAGATTGTAGGGTCTTAATGCGAATGACTATAAGTTTGTTTAAGTTGTTGATCTTTTTCTCTGAGCGTATAGTTTAATCCCCAGCGTCGAGCTTGCCCATTTTATTTAAAAAATTAAACTAACATTAATGAAATTAGGGATAAAATATAGGCGAGACCAAATTAAGCCTTCTTAAATAGGCATGAGCTTGTAATAAAGGCTTAAAATATGAGCCTACATACATTTTTTTTTAGACTCAAGCTTGAGCTTGTCATAATTCTGATCAAGTTTGAAGACCTTTTTAAGGGCCTACTTGTATTTTAAAAATAAACTTTAAAAAGTTTTTTATTAGATATTAAAACCCACTTATTCAATCAAAAATACTCAATTATTCAACTAGAAAAATGTAAATGAAATATAATAATATAAATGAAATGTATTTAAAATATAATATATAAAAATTAACTTAAAAAAGCCTAATATCTAGGCTTGTAGGCTTACAAGTTAGACCTTAAAAAATAGGTCTACCTATTAGCCAATTAGCCTAACTAAAGAAGCTTAGCTAAACAAATCAGATTCTAATAAGATAAGCTGTGAGCTATTCGATAGAGCTTAATTTATTTCTATCTTGAATGAATGAATGAAGAGAACGGGGTTATAAAACACTGGAAGACTACTTCGTGAAGAATTATGCAACATTACTTAAAAGAGACATGACATCATGCTTTAATAAGATTGAGGGTAATTTTGTGATTGATATATGGTCCGTAATCATTATACTCTATTTTAAAGAATCGTCTAACACTGTATTTAAAAAAGCATCTTCTGAATGGCCTAAACTCTTTAGTCCTTACATCTGATACCATCCCCAATAAAAAAAAAAAACCTGTGAGATTATTTTTTGTTTTTTTATGGTATTAAAAGTCAAGTCAATCTAGCTTTTTGGTCGGATAAATTATTAAATTAATATTTAATTAATTTAATAAATACTTTATTTATTATTAGTTTGACCCTGAATCCGTGACTCAACTATAATTCTAGTCTTTAAATTAGTGTTTTAATTAGTTATGTAACTTATCCACTTTTTGTATTTGACCTTTTTTTTCCCCACGCAACATTAAAATTAATTTAATAAGTTTGAGTTTTATTACTATGTACATAACCAAGTGTGTGCGAAAAATAGTTATTTTGTTTGTGGGTAAAGTGTTCAGGAGTAAGAGGAGGAGCCCCTCCTAATGAAGGGCAAGCAGTGCAGTGATAAAACTAAAGTGAGAGAAAGCAGTGTGGTGGCAGAAATCCCAAACAAAAGGACACAGCAATCTCGTGTGACGAGAAAGTTGAATCCAAAGCTCGAAGAGTACCATGAAGTTTCTACGAGCCAACCGCTTTTTTTGTTTTCCTCCTCAGCATCACTCTTTAAACAAAAAAAGCCACTCTCAGCACTCCAGCAGCTTCCTCTGCTACATTTTTGGCAGCAGCAACGCACCATGACCAATCAGTAACATAACAAAGCTACCATCATCTTCATCTTTTTGTCATCCCCCTCCAATCTGGATCTAGTTGTCAACCTCCCATCGTTTACAAAATGGACAACACCGTACAATAATCATGAGTGCTTCATCTGTTTTACCTGCGCATGACAATAGAAAAACATCACTTCATCACCTTAACCTTACTGCTGTCAAGTTCTTCACCCTTCTACTATCTCAATGGAATCAGTCAAACTTCTTGTTTCTGGATCTCACTCCTATCTAGTAATTTGGATCAAGTTGATTAAATTAAGTTAAAAACATGAGATGTTGGATCAAGTTTGATTAGAATAAGTTTAAAAACATGAGATGTCAAGGTTGAACTTGACTAGATGATTTTTTTATATGTTTAGGTATTTTTAAGCGTGGCTTGAATTAAACCAGCTTAAATAAACCTACTCTGCCTAAATTACGGATGCTATTTTTAGACATAAACCTATGTCGTTGGTTGGTGGGGTCAAAGGGTCATGGAAGAGAGTTTACATTGTGAATTGAGAGAGTTGGAGGTGATATAAACCATCCACTTTAATGGAAAGAGGAATTAGGGGCCCATTGTTTAAGCAATTGAAGCCAAAGAGAAAGAACAAGTGGAGTATAGAGAGCATCTTCCTCATCGTTTCTCGTGATTGGATTTGGCAAGTAATAGCGTAGACTGGTTTCCAAACTCCCCCAAAAGCTTCCATTTTAACATTGTCATGTTTCAGAATGAGGCAAAATCCAACTGCTACCCCCTCCCATCACCTTCTTCTCTAGCTTCCCAAGCAACTTTCCACGAAGCACGTCTTCATCATCCCAATCACTCACATTCTACACCTCTTGTCCTTTTCACTTGTCTCTGTCTCACTCTCTCATCACTCTTCTCCCCCACCTCACCACTATATATTCCTGTGAGACCTCCTTTTGGCTCCATCGTCTTCATCATCAATGGCGTCCCACGAACAACGGCGTGGTCTTTCAGGACTACTTCCCGACCATGGTGGAGAAGCTGGGGACGGAGGGGTTCATGAGGGAAACTGAGGAATGGGTTTCGGCTGTGCTGATGGATAAAGAGAAGGAGGTGATCACGTTCGAGAGCTTGAAGAAGAACTCTGCCTCGCTGGGTTTGCAGGGGATGAGCGACGATGAGATAATGTGTATGCTCAGGGAAGGTGATTTGGACGGAGACGGAGCTCTTAATGAAATGGAGTTTTGCACTTTATGTTCAGGTTGAGCCCTGATTTGATGAACAGTTCCAAGTCCCTCTTGGAGGAAGCCATTTTTACTCAACCTTGACCTTCCTTGTTTTTGCCCTTTTCTTCTTCCTTACTATTGTTCTCCTATGGTGCTTCATTTTTTTTTTTTATTGTAACGTCCATCTTCTGTGATCTGTAATGGCAGATTTCAAGTGAGATTTTTAAAAAAACATTTTTTTTTCTTACTTATTTTTAAATCGAAAGGGAGACCAAACAAATGATTGATCTAGCGAAGCCAGTCCCTCATAATTAACGCACGGCTAGTAAAATCTAGTTGTCTATAATGAGAGGATACTGACAAGTTAGAATTATGTTTGGTTGCGATTTAATTAATTTAAAAAATGCAAAAGAAAAGGAGAGATTTTGAGGAAGTAAGAAAAGCAGAGAAGAGGACAAGCAAAATTGCAGCATGTGAACGATAGCGCTGACAGAGGAACTTTACACGTATACGTATATTTCATTGGAAGAGCCTTTTTTAAGTTTTGGGATTCCAAAAATTCAACCAACTTCTCCATCTTGGGATGGGATTTAAGAGTCAAAAAAAAAATTCACAACACTTATGTACATTTCTAATATTTCAGCCTCAACTTTCATGCTTTGTTTTCTTCTTTTTATCATTGATGTTGACATTTTGATACCTTAATGTTTATTTTATATTCTTTATATTTTTTTAAAAATAAAAGGTGGTGTGTAATTATGATTTTTTTATTAAAAATCATAAAAATACAAAATTTAACTGTTTTGAGATTTTAAGATGTCAAAATATCTTTTCTTTTTATATAAAAAATAATTATCAAAAGAAAACAAAGGAAAACAATGTTTTGGAAATTGGACCATTATAAAGAGTTAGAGAAACACTCCTTAATCCAAAGGTATACCCTTAAATAACCTAATTCACAACCAAAAGCAAACGACATACAAGTGTTTTTCTCCTCTTTAGTTTGTGATCCCCAAAAGTCTGATAAATCTGACATTTTTAAAAAAAGAAATAATAAGTAAAATTAGAATATAAATATTATCCAATCTCTTATAATTTATTTGAGTAGGATTCTATAAAATGTTCTCTATTGTAAATAATAGTGAATACCAGGCAGAATGTTGGTCTCTATTAATATAGTTTATCGTATGAACAGTAATAACTGAAAACAAGAAACAAAACTTGAGCTGACTCTCGAACAATATTGGTTGGACCCAAAGAGGTGTATTGGGCCAAACGTAGGCTACGCCCTGAAGACCCCAAGGTCCGAATTTCGGGGGAGAGTTTTAATATGTGAGAAAATTTTCAAATCAGCTTTTTTTAAACAAAAAAACAAGCCAATTTTGAAAGGTAGTAAAAAAAATTTACTTCCTACTAATTTCTCCACTAAATTAATTAAAAAAAAAAATCAAAAAAAAAATCGAATCTGTCATTGGTCATCCCATGTGAATTAAAATTTAAGTGACAATTTATATTTTGCAATATGTTACCTTATTATAAGAGTATCTTTTCATATACATTAGTGCCTTAGGTATATTCAAAACTATAAATATTTTTTTTATAATTTCTCACATCCTTCAAATTAAAATATAATTAACTTATTTTATTTCAAAATTTGTTGAACCATACATCCTAAAAAATTATAAATAATCTATAATAAACTCTATACTATAATTCATGTCATAGTAGTATTTATAAATTATAATCATGGTAAAAAGTAAAAATTGAATCAAAATTGTTGTGAAAATAGAGAACTAAGAGGAGGAGAGAAGAGAGAAAAATATACTAAAAGAATAAGATAATAGAGCATTTTTTTTATTTAATGTGTAGAATACAATTGAGGTACCTTTTATTTAAGGTACAAATATTATTTAAAGTGAATATCATATAAAGATAATAACAATTGAAAGATATTATAGTAACTGAAAGATATTGGTAAATCTGAGATAATGGATATCTACATAATATCTTAATATTCATAACACACTCTCTTGGATGTTTAGATATTGTATCTCATTAAAATCATATTAAGAAAAAACTCAATGAGACAAAAATTTAGTCAAGGAAAAAGAGTACACAATATCATTATATTTATTGAAGCTGCCTATTAAAAATTTATCAGGAAAACTAGTAGGATAAAACCTTGGTTAAGAAAAAAAAATAGTACAACATAACCTTTACTCCTCTTGATAATATATCACTCATTGTTCTTGAGTCTTTTTGAGTTATTGTATCCTACTTGTGTGCTAATTTCTTAAATATTTTTGTTGCCAATGCCTTTGAATTTGCAAGCTGATATGCTCTTAGAGCTAGATTATATATGAATATTTTAAAACATCTTTTTAAATATATCTTCTAAATATGAACTATTCTTCACTTGTGATATATCCTGTAGAAGTAGAAAAACATCTTGATATACTGTATTTCATAATAAATAATTTGAAATAAGTCAATTTGTATAGTTCAAACTAGACATGTATAATACATGCATAATCAATTAATTTTAATCCTAAAAGTTTGGTAAATCAACACCATATAATAATTCTTCAAGCATATTCATATCAAGTACTTAGTTTTATTGTAAATCAAGGCCATATCATAAATTGTGATATGAAAGCATTTATATATGGTGCTTGAGACCATATTTCATCATCCTCTTGAAGAAAAACAATCTTAATTATTATTTAATTACCCAATATTTGAACATGTTTCTCTAACAATCAAGTGTTTATATAAATTCTTTAGAATATTCAATAATGCTCAGTTAATATAATCTAATGCAAATCAATACGTATATATTATACAAACAATATAACAAACAAGAAAGCCTCTCAAGAAGCTTTATAAGCTTTTATCATCTTGAATCCTTTCAGGATTTTCAAGTAAATGACATTGTAAGATAGCCATATAGTAAGCTATCATGTAGTAGATACATACCAAATTTCTATACTATCAGACTAATAACATATCACAAATCATTTCATCCACCACACAATATATTAATGTATTTTTGAATCCTCGTAAGATATTCTTATATTGAAAATCAAGCTTTGCATTTGACATTTCATATTATCTTTTATATAAATAATCATGCATAATATCACACTTCAGGTGCTTGAAACTATAAGTTCACAACTTTCATATCATAAACAAGTGAATGTAATTTCTACTTGTATTGTCTTTTTTTCTAATCTGATTATCTTTCTACCCTATTCTATCAAGATCTCATTTGATAGTAATTATTTCATTCTCATTGAAATGTTGTATACAACTCTCATCTTTTGGCTCCATCATTTCTCACATTGACATAAAATATCTCATTTATTATTATCATGTACTTGATCTTCTTTTGGGAATTTAAAGTCAATTACATCTTGGCTTATTATAGAATGCCAACCTCATTAATATGATCATCTTATTATCCGCTCTTTTTTCTTTCTATAAGATTTTCTTTCTTTGTAACTAATTAGCCTTCCATGCTTTAGGTGTGACTCATTTTTATTTATACATTTGGAGCATTATTAGCTAGAGCATAAATTTAAAATTTCTCCTTCTATCAATAGTTACATATTTGGTAGTTATTTTATTTTATGAATGCAATGTTATATGAACTTTGATTCATATATGAGAATCTATACAACATATTAATATGCATTCATGAATTTCACTTCCAACTTTTTATCATCTTCCCCTCTTTGGGAATTGCAAACAACACAGGACGAGCCTTCTGGATCCATTTGTTTCTTATAAAAACATCACTTGTTTTACTTATAAACAAACAAGAAGAAGAAGAATCTTAAGTAACATTTATTCTCAACCTTATTGTGTGTTCACAAGATGAACGCTTGTAGCGTGCCACACATCACAAACTTAATTGGATTCCACTAAACTATAAAGACTTTGGCATTATTCTCAACTTTCTTTTGAAATACATTTCATACAAAGTCGTGAAGCCTTCATTATAAAATCTCAATCTTTAGCTCCTGACAAAAAGTCAAATTATAATGGGGGTATTCACATAATGCATTTCAGTGCTATAATTGCAAACTTGCATATTTAAATAGAAAATCTTATTGTCACAAATTTGGTCTAATCGTCTTATTAGAAGCATAACTAATCTTTAAAGACCCATTCTAACAAGTAGGCTTTTCTTTATCTCATAATCATTGAGAGCCTGAGATATGAAACCACTAGCATTTTCCAGTGATTCACCTTGATCACTATATTAGCAATTATACACATAATAGTTCTTTCTTTTCACAAACTTCTGGTTGTGAATTGATGCACATGTGAAATTATCTTATAAATGCATCTATCAATCTCATTAAATATTGCATGGTTCACATGGTATCTAAATGGGCCCATTTCAATTCAATAGATTTCATAAATATCTGGGATCTAATCTCAATTATTGCTAGTCTAATCTCAATTATTGCTAGTGATAGCCTTATAATTTCCTTAAGCAACATGTGAGAAACATGTGAGAATTCTTGAAGCATGTAATGTGTTAGCTATTATGAAGAATCTTCTAGTTCTTCCATGGATGTCGTTGTAAATTCTCAATAATTCTTATATCAATATTGATCTGGGATGATCTAATCAGTCATGCCAAATAATATCAGTATACTTTTAGCATACTAAACTAAAGTAACAGTAACCTTTTAGTTATGAAGACATGTTTGTTAATCATTGTAAACTTCTAGTTACAATCTTAATTTGACATCCAATAAGATAAACTCCTTAATAACTTATTTGAAACTCATGTAAATAATATATCACAAATGAATTTTGCTTCATAGGTATGAGGAATCTTTGCAAGATATTATCAATTTTGTACAACCCAAATAATAAAACCATTTATTTCAAAATAAAGGAAACTCTTATTTATATATATGCAAAGACAGTTTTTTTTTTGCATTAAGTTCTCTAAGAAACAAATACAAGTAGTTCTAAGTTCATAATTTTTTTTAAATACCTTGAGATTCTTGCTATTTGTTTTTAGCATTTACAATCAATCAACATTATAGTATTGATATTTTCAATAATTAAGACGATCT